TGGGAGGGGAAGGGGAAAGAAAAGAAGGGAAAGGAAAAATTATGAGAAAAGGAAAAAAATGGAAACAAAGTCTTTGTAAATAGGGAAGGGTGGAGGGGTGAAGGGCACACAGGTAATGGGGAAAAAATAAAAACCAAGATACATCATGTACAGGTACAAGCACCCAATGATAAATGTAAACGTATTTTATACCTAAAATGTACCAATAAAAGAATTTAAGGTAAAAAAAAAAAAAAGAAAAAGAAATGGGCTGGGCATGGTAGCACACACCTGTAATCCCAGCACTCTCAGAGGCTGAGGCAGGAGGATCTCAAATTCCAGCCCAGCCTGGGCAATTTAGCAACTTAGTGATACCTTGTCTGAAAAAAACAAAACAAATCAAAAAACCCTCAGCATGGTAAATGTCTCAGTGCAGAGGTCCTAGATTTAATCCCAATTCCAGAAAAAAAAAAAAAAAAAGGACGGGGCAACATGGCAGAGTGAAGGGTACATTCCTGAAATAGCTATTGGGATTGGGAATCGGACCTCTCATGGCTGACAAAGATTTTCTTTTTTCACTTTTCATTCCTGCCCAGCACTGCACCCCTGCCTTAAAACCCATTTCATTTCAGTCTCTCTGCTCCAATCCTTTAGTATCAGCAATCATATTTCTTTAACTTCTGAATGTGACATTGGGTCAGGGAACTCACTCTACTGCTGATTTATAACATATGTGAGATATTTGATTTAATTCCTTCTCCTGCAGAAAGCATGTATCTTCGAGGATGCACACTAGACTCAGGGTGTGGTGGGAACTGAAGGAGCAGAAGACCTGGCCTAAGGTGCCACAGTCACCCCTGGCAGGCCTGCTGTACACCGTGGGGCAGACACTGCTGGAACTTGTCAGCTTTTGTCCCTGAACACTATGGCCAAGTGGTTACCATTTAACCAGTGATGAAAGCAGGCAGAAACAAAGAAATGACAGTAATTAGGAAGTACTTTTTACTAAAATGTAATTCTTTTTGGCAAATCTTGCTAAGTGCTGGCCTAGTATCCAGGCACCATAGCATAGTGGCTGAGGGTGATTCCACTAGAGTGCACTGGGTTCAAATCCCAACCATGTTCCTTAGTTCCGTGACCTTGGACAGGGCATCTAACCTCTTGTATAAAACAATGAGATTAATGGGCTCTTTAAATATGAATGAACCATTCAGGTGTGTTAACAGGCTGACTGTAGTTCATAAATGGTTAAACACATGCATAATTATTTTCACAAACAGTATTGTGTGTGTGTGTGTGTGTGTTACTTGGGATTGAACCCAGGACTTCATGCATGCTAGGCTAGCACTTTAGGACTGAGCTACATCCCCATCCCAGTATCACCATTCTATCTCTTCAAGGCCCAGGAAACCAAAGGCCTTTGGTGTTTGCAACTGGAATTTCAAGACTTTTGACCTGATAAGAAAAAAACCCAGGACCAATTTGTAAATTCAAAGAGGCCACCACAAACCTCACAAAAACAAATTAACATGTTTCTGCTGGTGTATGTGTTAAGTGAGCTGTAAGTCATATTTTATTGGATAAAGACCCTGCCGACAGGCACCCCACCATGCTGAGCTCAGCCAAGGACCCACCCCTTTCCCCTCTGTGCAACTAGGGCCTCCCTCAGGGCCCTTCACTCACATTTTTAGGCTAGTTCAAGGCTTCTGGGCCACATCTCTGCCGTGTCCTCCATGCTCCTCAGAGGCAGGGTGCAAGTGAGCTCTCAGCTGCCTGAAAGAGACATGTGCACTTTGGAAGGCCGGTGTGACAGCCACCTCACTGCCTTCCCCTGCCCAGCTCAGGGAGAGCCCAGAGGGAAAGTCCCACATACCTCACCTAGGTCATGTACTGTACGAGGAGTCTGCACCCACAGGGCAGGAAGGGAGAACCAGAGCTGGGAGCTGAATGTCCCTGCCTCCACTGGGTCTGGGGCAGACTGCTCCATGCACTTGGTCCTCAGAGCATTGCGGGGTAGGTGGGCAGAGAAGAGCCCCAGAGAAGAGAGCACCCTGCCTGCTTCTCCCCTCCCTAAGAGTGAGTGAGTAGGAGTGAGTGGCACTGGGACGGAGCAGGGCTTCTCAGAGGGCTTGTCCCCAAATAGGGTCAGTAAAATTAAAGCTAGAGCCTGATCCACAGGTCTCCTGACCCCAGGCCTCTCGGGAGCTGCTTTCAGTCAAGGCTTGAGGTAGAATTCAAAAATCCACAAGGTGAAAACTTTCCACAGGTCTTGTGCCCAATTTGTCAAGCCCACTCCTCTGAGGCCCCAGGATGACAAGGGACAATTCCAGAATGACCATGCTTGCAAGGAGAAGGGAGGGAGGCGCGGCAGCTGGAGTATCCACCCCACAGCCTTTCGCAAGAGGTGGCTCCCTGCCTAGCAAGGGATTATCAGGAAGACAGCAGGGGCTTCCCAGGGAAGATTTTCTAACACAGTGCACAGTGAGGGAGTGAGGGGTCCTGCAGCTGAATTCAGACATCTACAGTAGAATCTGCTGCTGTGCACAAAGCATGGTGTGTGTGTGTGTGTGTGTGCGCGCGCGCGTGTGTGTGTAGAAAGAAAGCACAAGTCGCCACAGTCAACTCCTATCTCGTGGTACCTTTGTGCCTGGTAGGGCTAAGTTACTTCCACACATTATTTCTGTTCTCCTGCAGCCAGATCAAGGCCACTTTCCTCTAGGCCCTCTCTTCCCCAGGTCCTGTCTCCTTCCTTCTCTGCAGATTTGCCTTCCCCCAGAAGTTAACTCAGGTGGGGTGCTGTATATCTCACCGTCTCTCCCTTCACTCTGCCTGTCCTCTCCACAGGGTAGAGGAGGTGGAGCAACTTCTAGTCCCAAGAGAAGGGGTGGTGGTGGTGCTGGAATGATTCCTCTTCTCTTCCTTGCATTTGCTTCTCTTTACCCTCTTAGGAACTGAAATTAAACCTATTAATAATTATCATCATTCAAGATCCTGTCCCTCCATTAACATAACTTCAAATTGATTAAGTCCCCCTTTCCACCCTGAGTTCCTTTCAAAGCTTCATTTCATTACTTTAACACTGAATGGCACCTTGCCCAAGTCCTCCTTCCTAAAGGTATTTCCTCCACCCTTCCAACAACCCCTTTTGGCCATTTGCCTTGTTGAGTCTAAGCCAAGTCCTCTTTCACCCTGCTTAATGTTGGGCAGCTGAACCGTTCGGATTATTCCACGAGTCCCTTGCTTTCTTGGCTTTCTGTTGGGTGTGACCAATGGGGGCACTAGGAGGAGATAGAGGAGGGTAGAAGAGAGAGGATGTGGCTCTTATTTCCCCAACTCCCTCACTGTAGGATCCCCTCAAGCCAGCATCATCCCTGACCGAAGGGACCCCTACCAGGTAGTCGTTCATCTCCACATACTCTTATTACCTTAGTGGACAGCCTAGGGTATAACTGGTTCTTTCTACATGGATTCAATGCACTTTTTTTTTGTAGTGAGAAATTTGTGATAATCTTCAGGCTCCAGGATCTGCCTAGCTCCTCGAGGTGTGAATGTGACAGTCATGTCTGTTTTAAAAGCCATCGCCAGTTGTTCCACACTTGGTGGATCCTGAGCTGCTCCTTACCTGGATCCTGGTATCGCTTTCTAATATTTTATGGTTGCTCAGTAAACTTGGACTGAACAGAGGCTCAAGGGGTAATTTTCCAACTCCCACTGTCATGTGTGTGAACTACCTCAAGTGCTGACTGCATCCTCACCCAACTCTTTATGTTCATTAAACCTATGGTTTAAAGTTAAAAAGAAATTTAACATAAATGCAAAACTGTTATCTAAAATATACTGCATGTTCACATTTTCTGAATTGATCCAATGTCTTTAATTTTATTTTTGGTCAAGGATTCAATCAAGGATTATATATTGTACACCTGGTCATTCATTTTCTCTCTCTTTCTCTCTCTCCCCTTCTCTCTCTCTCTCTCTCTCTCTCTCTCTCTCTCAAAAATGTGTTATTTTTTGAGCCAGCTGTAGTGGCACATGCTGTAATCCTACCATTCAGGAGGCTGAGGCAGGATGATCACCACAAGTTCCAGGCCAGTTTGGAACTGTCTCAAAGGCCCTGTCTCAAAAATATCAAGGCCCTGTCTCAAAAATGACAAAAACAGTGTTATTTTTAACTTACATATAATAATTGTACATATTTTGGAAGTAGAGTACAATAATTTGATACATGTATATGGTGTGTAAATGATAAGATCAGGGTAATTAGCATTTTCCACTCCTCACATATTTATCATTTCTTTGTGTTGAGAAACTTCAAACTCAAACTCCTCTGAGTGATTTTGAAATATATAATAAATTGTTGTAAATTAAGTTACCTTATGTATTAGTCACCTTTCTATTGCTGGGGGGAAAAATAACCTAACATATACAACAAAAAAAGGAGAGGTGTATTTTGGCTCACAGTTTCAGAGGTTTCAGTCCATATTCAGTTGGTTCTAAGGCAGAAACATTGTGGGAGAAAGGCATGGCAGAGAAAAGCTGCTCACTTCATGGCTGCCAGGAAGCAGAGGGAGGAAAATAGCCTGAGAAAAGATATACCTTCAAAGGTATGCTGCCGTGACCTACTTCCTCCAGGTAGGCTCTACCTCCTAATAGCTCATTCATCAGTTAACTCACTAGCAGGTTAACCCATCTATGAAGTTAGCACCCTCACAATCCAGTCACCTCTATACTCCACCTCTGAACATTGCTGCACTGGGGATTAAATCCTCATACCTGAGTCTTTGGAGGACTGTTCATATTTATGCCACAACACCCTACTATGCTAGAATATTTCTCCTATCTAATGCTAGAACCTTATTCCTCCTATCTAACACTAAAACTTATTCCTCCTAACTGAACTGATTCTCATTATCCACCCTCTCACTAACCCCAGTTCCCTCTACCTACCCTTCCTAACGTCTGATGACCACTATTCTCCCTACTTCTCTCTCTCTACATCTTTTTAGCCTCTGTATGAAGGAGATCATGTAGCACCCGTCCTTCTGTGATAGTTAACTGATTGTGTCAATGTGAGTAAGAAACATCCAACTAAATTAGATCAGCATAGTTGATTGATGGAAGCCCTACTCCATAATGTGGTAGTGATAGGAGGTGGGGCCTTTGGAAATAATTGGGTTTATGAGGTCATAAGAGTGGAGCACACATAAATGGGATCAGTGTCCTTATGAGTCCTGGGCAAGCTTCTTCCTGTCACGTGGGGTTATAGCAAAAGCTACCATCTGTGAACCAGAGCTGGCCCTCCCCAGACGCTGAATCTGCTGGCACCTTGAACTTAGACGTCCCAGCCTCCAGAACTGTGATTTAAAAACAAATGTGTCATGTGAGTGACTCAGCTTACGTTATTTTGTTATGGCAGCCTGAGCTAAGACGCCTACCCTACATAAAATATTAACTCTCGATTACTACACTCTCGCTTTCTATCCTCTTTAATCTATTCGATATTCTGCATAGCACTTGTCCATATCTGATATAATAGATACCTACTACTTATGAAATATACAGCTGTTCTGAAATTAAGATTTCATGGACATTTTAGATTTATTTACTTACATTTTGAAAGCCTATCAGTTTCCAAAATTATATGTATTTTACAGTCCTGCTCAGCAGTTACATGTTAATAGGGCCAAAAGCTTTGAGCTAAAACCTAGTGTTGCTTAGAAGGACCCATACTTTGTATTAGCATTCAAAAATGTAATGGTCAGTTTCAGGTGATTTCACATGCTTATATTAAAAATATTAATCTTGTGTATTTCTCGAAAGAAATTGCAACATTGGGATGTTTTGTCTACAATCTTCCATATATAAAATAGAAAAACCTAGAGTAACTGTGTTTTCTGATTTTGTTGCAAATGCCAAGTGGATGTGCAGATAATTTCGTTTTGTGCCATGTTCTACTTGGTCTGCAATGTTGTTTTGCATTTCCAACCAGCAACAAGTGGAATAAAGGCACTGTTAAGACTTCCTGCTCAGGGTTGGGTGGGACATGAGAGGGCAGAAAGTTCAAACACAACCACACATGGTTCTGTCACAGCTGAGTTAAGGGACAACACACAAGCTCTGCTCGTCATGACTGGTGGAGACTATGACAAGCATCTCAGTTGAACAAAATACTCATTGCATTTGAGATAAGGAGAAAAATTGCCTCAGTCTTTCTAAAAGTTAGTGGAAGTTTAAAAGCAAACATTTTCTTTTCTTTTCAGTACCGGGATCGAACTCCAGTCCTTGCGCTTGCGAGGCAGGCGGCGGAACAACTGAGCTAAATCCTCGGCCCTAAAAGCGAACATTTTCTACTTTTAAACAGGCGTCTGAGTTACGTTGGTCTCAGTGGGCAGCCACAGGCTGAAGTCCTAGCATGGGCAGCGCATAGGAATGCTGAGCTTCTATGAGGGCTCCTGCAGTTTTTGTGGCCTGCAGGTGGCGCCATCAAGCCACTGAGCAACTCAGCAATCAAGTGGCTTCGCTTTCAGGGCTCTAGAATTCTTTGCTGTTCCAATTTAAAAGTGACTTTGCTCCTTTTATGGTGCAATTGCATAAAATATGTTTTAAATTAAGTGACCTTTATTGACAGACGCTGAGATAATTCTCATCTTTGTTTGCACAACATAAAATATCTCGAAAGCTTTAAAAACACATTTATGGACCTTCTCGCTCAATGCTAGTCAAATAAAAACCCCTGGAGGTCAGGACTCAGCTGCTGGTACTTTTTTTTTTTTTTAGTGCATATTTGTGGTTGCATTCATCGTGGAGAGTTGCTACACGTACATAACACATCTTAATTCTTTTTATGTCCCCTTCTCCTCCCTTCCCTCCATATCTTTGTCTTCTTCCTATATTAAAAGTATTATTCTTTGTTTCCTATTTTTATTTTACTCTTTCATTTATTTATTCTTTGGGTTTCTTCTATAAGAGAAACCATGAGATATTTAAACTTGTGCGTCTGATTTATTTCACTTAACATTCTGGTCTCAAGATGCCTCCATTTTCCTACAAATGCCTCAGGTTTATCCTTTATGCCAGAGTAGTGTAATGTTACAATGTGGGGACAGAGGCCTTGAGTTCCTCGGGAACGGGCTGCACAAATATCAAGGGCAATCACTGCGGAGTGAGGGGCCAATCCTTTGATAAAACCAACACCAGCATCCCCCAAACTAAGCAGGGCCTAGTTCCTTATGCTCAGATATTCGGAAGGAAAACCGCCAGTGACAGGTTGGGAACAGGTGACGAGGGGGGAGCGGGTGTGTCTGCCCTTCAGCATGGAACAGTATGGCAGGGGTCCTGGAAAAATAAACGAGGAACACCGGTCGCTGCCCGAAATGCTGCTCTAAGTAA